GGAGATGTTCCAACCAAAAAAGCCAACAAAATCGAAAAATCATTGCAACAACAAAATAAAAAAAAAACCATTGCAACCAAAAAACTCATAAATTGTGTATTGAAAAACATTAAATTATAGATGTTCCAACCATAAGTGAGCTTGCTCACCAACAAACAATCCAGCGGGACACAAGACAAGCCAAGGAGGAGACAGACAAAAAGATAGAGGATGATATTAGAGAGAAGCCGACTCGAGGATCTCAGAAAAGAGAGAATGGAGAAAGGTTCTCTCAAGATCCTCAATAGGAGCAACCGAGGGAGAGGCGAAGTAGAAGTGACCTAGAGCAACACCGGTCGAGCGAGGAAAGAGACAGACATAAGACGCGGGCCGCGAAGACGATCCTGCAGTCGCGTTTATTACAAAAGTTGAACGACGTTTTCCATTAAACTCCCCAAATACACGAAACAAACGCGATGATGACGTTTTGAAAATATCACCCGCAGTTATATGCTGCCCCAAACGTGGCCTTAGTCTCACATATATTGAAGGAGTTTACTTGTACGCTTAAAAATCCTTAAATGCAAGAAATCCCCCATGAGCAGTAGTCATGTGGCTTGATCTGCAAGAGAGTTATAATTGCTGAGCTCAAAGTCAAGTTGAAAACTGAGTTTAATTTAAACAAAAGAGCTTGAATGGAGCCCAATAAAAACATGCTTTTCATCAGCTATTTTTGTGTCTCAAGTTTGGATCGTTTTCACCCCTATAATATAGCTTTCTGTGAAGGGGAAAAAAAGTCATATCCAAATGACACGATTTAGTTGGCTCCAATTCAAATGAACTAAAGTCATGCGATTTTAATCAATTGGATTTACTTTATTAACCGCATTCTGTTATTTATTAATTTACTCATATTTATTTATTGACTTTCACTACGAATATTATAATTTTTTGGACTTTTACATGCATAGCACCTGAAACTTCTTAATTTACGTATCTCACACAAAAAATTTAATAATACGGATTTCAAACCCCTGTTAACGCCTCCATCGCCTTCTAACGGCTCCAGTCCCGGAACTGGCAAGAACTCTCCTCCAACAATCTTTCCTTCGCCTGGCATATGTTCTCTAGTCCTCGTCTCTTCGTCTCCTCCATCACTGCAGCGGTGCAGCCATTCTCCACTTCATCTTTAGCTCAGATCTCGCTGGCTTCGGATCTGATCTCATGGGAAGAAGAAAATAAAAAAGAGGAGCGGTAACATTAATAGCACTGCTCAGATATTTTCAACCCGAAGCTGAGGTCAATCTGATACGCGAAGGTGGGGGCAACCGCGTCAAAATAAGGTGAAGGAACGCAGGTCCCAGGATCCAACCCGCGACCCACCTTTTATTATAAATGCTTCGTGTCGCCCCCTAAATGCCACAAGACTGTTGTTTGGAACCGCACCGCGGGCAAAACGATGGACCTAAGAGAAATAAAATGATAATTTTGCCAAAACTCTTTAAAAAAAAAATAAACTTGATTCTAATCTTCAACATGTTGCTTTAAACTTTAGAATACACATTTTTGACTAATAAAATCTAATAAAAATTTTTGGTCAAAATTAATTATTTTTTCTCTCCTATGGTAGGGGTCACTTTGACCAATCATTTCTTCCCATAGAGCTTGAATTAGTCAAAACCAATTGAATCATTGAATTATTGCCATTTTAATCTTTCAATTTGATCAAAGTCAAATTTTGGGCCAAAGTCGACTCCTCAACCACCGTTGCTACAATAACTCTGTATTTCAAACCTTTTTGACTGTTGGATTCCTTATTTTATTCTCTTCAAAATGATATATATCCTCATGTATAAAAATACCCTTCTACCAATTAATTAATTAATTAATTAATTATTCTAAATGCCACCTTAGCAATCTTAGTGTCATTTCTTATTGGTCCAAGTTTCACAACAACTGAAATCCTTATTTACTTTAAATCCTTACCATTAAATTCAAATTAAGAACTTCTCACTTAATCTTATCCATCCACTTACCACATTACCTTGAAAAACTGCCGCCACAATCATTTTTTGAGCTGTAACCCACTATTCTTTCAAGGAATCACGCCACATTCAAGCAATATTCCTCTCCTCTCCCATTCTAAGGTTTCTCTTTCCTTTTTGATTATATTCTTAAATTAATTTTTTTTTCCTCCTTCTATTTTTTCTTCTCCTTCTAAAATTGAGAACTCCTAGTAGCTCTTGGAGAATTCAATAAAAAAGGCAAGGAAATAAGCAAAGAGGATTAAAAGAAATTAAATTCAGAATAAAGGTAAGACATTTCTTCACTAATCTTTCAAAATGTTATTCAAATTAAAGGACTTTCGAGTAATTTTTATTCTAAATGCTTTAGTCAATTTTTTTATACCTGTCAATGCAAGAAATTCCATAAGTTCTAGGCATGTTTCCATTTAAAACCAAAATGTTTTTGCATAATATGATAGGGCTTCATCTCTATTTTAATTGGTTTAAATTTATAAGAATTTTTTCTATCAAAATTATCATGTTTCTATGCATTTTTAGCCCTAACTAAATTAAATAAATGCAAATTATTAATTTTTTAGTTTAATTCTTCTTAAATCATGCATATTTAATGTTCCTACATATTATTTAACATGTTTTAAGTCATCCATGCCTATGCCAAAAATTCTAACATGGTTCTTCATAAAAATTATTTAGGGCTTTTATAATTCCTATATTTTATACATGTGTGTAACATATCTCATGTTAGAAATTTAGGATTTATTATGTTTATGTTGAATGATATGTTTTTTATCAAAATTTGCATAAAGTTTTGTTATCAATTAAGATGATTTAGGTTTGTATGTGTTTCTTATAAAAGTTAAAATAATTCAATACAAGTCATACCCAAATTGTGAGATATATGTATTGCTCATTGGTCTTTTGTTTTAAGTAGTTAACACATTCCTATAATTTAATTCATCAAAAATAAACAATTTAACTTCACTAAATTCCCAAAAACCAAAAATGTATATGATTATTTTCATTTGGCTGAAACTTACACATGTTAAACATACTTTAAATTATCTTAATTAACTTAATTAATTAATTACTTACCTTTTAAACAAGTTTGACTGAAAAATATATACTTTAAAAATGTACTTTGAATCATCTTAAATTATACTCACTTAATTAATTTTTAAATATATATTAAGTTAAAAATCTTTAACAATCAATTGCTTTTCTAATTGCTTAAAAATAATTTAATCAAATAATGAAATTAGAGTTTTGTTCAAGTTGCAATAATTTTGATAAGGCACATTAATCAAATTCATAGCTAACAAAAAAATGTAAGGTTTTGCCATTTTTTATAGTGAAATATCCTCATTTTGGAGAGCAATTCAATGCACTAACAACTCTTAATTGTCATGATTTCAAGAAGTTTTGAGTTACATTTTTTTCTTAATGAACAACAAACATATTAGAGGTATGTTGTGAGCGAATGGTCGATCCAAGTTGAGTTCAAAGTGATTTCGACAGGTTTGATAATTAAAAAGTTAGGCTAAATCCTAGTACCTGCTAATACCCATCATGTCACAAGTTACATATCTATAGCTAGGGCTGTCATAAAAGCTTGTAGTTCACGTATAGTTTATTTTTTTTACATATTAAGGAGCTCGTGTTCGATTCGTGTGTTAGGAAAGTGAGCCAAACATGAATAAGTTTATTTGAGCTAAACTTCATCTGCAGCTCAGATCTAGCCGGCTTCGGCTCTAATTACATGGGAAGAAGAAAATAAAAAAAAAGACCAGTAACATTAATAGCACTGCTCCGATATTTTCACATGCATCAGCCTCTTCCTTTATCAAATGCAATCATATATATATATATATATATATAGATATATATATAGATACATACATACATACATACATAGTAGTATTTTTAAAAAAATTCATTGACTAAAAAACGCCAAAAAATTGTAATCGATTAAAAGTATTAATTGAAAAATAGAATAAAATTGATTAAATTAGATTCAAATGATGTTTAAATATAAATAATAATTTTTAAATCTTGTCACAATCACTAGCATCTTATGACTACGTGATTAGAGTCGTCAAAATGACACCTTGTTCATATTCAGCTCGTGTTCAGCTCGCTAAGCAAATTAGTCGAACACGAACACAATTTTTTAGCTCCAAATACTCGTGTTCGGCTCATTTACACCCCTAAGTGCCAAAACTCACCCAAGAACTAACAAAAAAAATCAAAAGACAACATAGTATTTTTAGTTTATTTTGGTATTATTTAGGTGGGTCTGATATAACATACATGATAGTATATTACTGAGAGTTCGTACATTAGAGTTACTTCCAGAGTCCGGATAGAAAATTTCCCCAAAATTAGATGATTTAAAGCACGCTATGTACATAAAACCATTATAAATTTTAGTTCAATTTTTTATGTTTTATGTATAAGAACCTAAATTCATATTTTATTATTGATTTTAAGGGTCAAATTTTTTCGTTAACTTTTTCCTGGGTCCGAATAACTAAATGCTGAACTTGGCAATAGATGTAGGCGTTGAGGGTATCAAAATAAATATTAATTTTTTAAGATATATTTACATAAGTACCACCCCATTATTTCATATCTACATGTTTAACAATCAAAATTTGATGTTCTTCTTTATAATGTTTTGATGTCATAAGATTATGTATGCAAAAAATATATTCACGTTTTAAAAGTATTTTTAAAGTAATATTAAAAGTTTGAGTGCCATGTTTGTTAATATATATGTTTAGGTGTTAAATAGATAAATATAAGAGAATTGTGTTTATGTAAATGTGCTTTTATTTTTGTTTTATTTTAAATAAATAAATACTGTTTTGCAAAAAAAAAAAAAAAAAAAAAAAAAAAAAGATTTTGCTGATCTCACCTAGAAATTTAAGAGTAAACTGCGAATCAAAGAACTGCCAAATCAAATGCTGTCCATTAAAAAAGGATGCGAATGAAAAATCAATGGACGGTGCAGATCAGTTGATTTTCATTAACGTTCCAGTCCTTCATTGTTTTTTTAGATCGCTCTCTATCAAAAAGCGGCGGTCGATTTGGCTCCGTAGTTTCTTCTTCACGGATCTCTCGCTCGCCCGTTAGTGCCGGCCTCCTATTGCCGACGGCGAGGTCGAGCTCTATTCCCATGGAGATGCCCTCTATCTCCTCGACTCCCCGCACCGTTGAGGAAATCTTCAAAGACTTTTGTGGCCGACGCAACGGCATCATCCGCGCTCTTAATCAAGGTCCCATGCCCGCCCCCCTCTTATCATTTGCATTCTCATTACTAACTGATTTGAATTTCTGTTCCAGAGGTCGACGAATTTTACGCACTCTGCGATCCGGGTGAGTCACTTCGTTTCATGCTCGACGCGGGCGTTTTAATGGTGTAGTTCTCCGGGATCTAGGGTTAAGTGTTTTCGATCTTTGCAGAGAAGGAGAATTTGTGCCTGTACGGGCATCCAAACAGCTCGTGGGAGGTGACGCTGCCAGCGGAAGAGGTGCCGCCGGAACTCCCGGAACCGGCGTTAGGAATAAATTTCGCCAGAGATGGAATGAACCGGAGGGATTGGCTCTCCCTAGTTGCGGTGCATAGTGACTCCTGGTTGCTTTCCGTCGCTTTCTACCTTGGGGCCCGTTTCAATGGCAATGAGAGGTACGCTTCGTCGATCCGAGATGTTTTGCGGTCTAGTTGATTTGTTTACGTTGGATGACATGCTATTATAATTAACCTAGTTTCTTTGGGTGTAGTTGCAAGTTTCGTCAATTCGTAGATGATCATTGGCCTTCAATCTTTCGTATTTCCGTTTAGAAATAACTTGAAAAATAGCGAAGTATTTAGTTTCAGATGTTTTGGATGATTGTGCTATTCTTGTTATGCCTCGGCATCCCTTCCTTTATGCCTAGTAGGTTAGAGAACTTTGTTGAAGCTAATATGATGCTTGGCTGCATTGTGATGTTTCGTCCTTTTTGAAGTCCAAGCAGATCCTGAAAGGCTTTTCACGTTTCTTACATGTTTTTTCTCTTTGCTCTCATGCGCGCTTAGCTGGATATCAGTGATTCTCTTTGGGGCCTTATTTATACCCCTTAAAATATAAAAATAGAAGATATAAGAATTCCTTACGCTAAAAAAATATAAAGCGTACTTATGAAAGAGGCTTAATGAAATAAAAGGCTCACGGAAATAACTAGTGTTGTAGACCCTAAGGTAAATTGAAAAAATGGTTTTCATACATACCATCCAATTCCCATGTATTTACATTTTTAACACCCAAATTTTACTTTTTTTCATTTATACCACCCAAATCTTTCATATCACATCAAATATACCACCATTTAACTTTTAAAATGTCAAATACACCTTTTAATGTATGTGTAAGGTGGCATGTATGTAAAAATTGAGCATTAGGTGTTAGATATGTAAATATATATTATGTGCTATGCATTAGTCCAATTTCTGGAGTTGGTGTCTAGCTCGTTTGATTTTTCCTTTTTTTTATTTTCAATTATCTGTATGCAAAGAAGCATTAAATTCCTTTAAGCTACAGAAGGCAAGAGACCTTTATTGAAATTTGATTAGTTGATTATTAAGGAAGCATTGTTACTTATAATTTTTAAGTACTGTTTCCGATATGATTTGTGAGTTATGAAGAAGTCAATCCATTTTTAGATGAATTTAATAGAGTGGAATACGCATTTCATAGGAACTCCTTACTCTCTCTTGGTTTCCATTCAATTACCTGATTAATTGGTAGTTAAGTTTGCTGCATTTTATATTACATCAGCTATTTCTAAAAAAGTGATGGAATGATTACTCATTTGTTTATAAATTTGGGTGCCATTAGATTGGAAGAAACCTTTTGGTCCAATGCACATTGTTACATAAAGCTCTATGTATTTATACTTGTTTAGTGCATGGTTATCACATATAAATTTTCTACGCCAATTTTTTTTTTATGAATAACCTTTGATCATGCCCATATATTATGGCATATAATGTCTAGATTTATTAATTTCTCTTTTCAAAAGTTAGAGCATTGTTTCAGTGAAAATGTATTTGAAAAGCCCAAATATTTGTTTGTTGATTAATAAGTAATAACCCAGTGTATGAGACTCCTACCAATGCGTGGTCGGGGAAGGGTTTGATGAACCATAGGCCTATCATTGTATTGAAGAGACGTTTCCATGACATAAATGCTTGATCTTTTTGCCAGATTAGATTCAACCTAATAATTTGTAGAGGCACACTCCATTTGTATAGTAAAAACAAGCCACAAGTCTTTTGGGTGCTTTCAAAATACAATATGTTTCTTTGGTAGCATGGAATGATTTGTTTGTTTCTTTTTATTGTTATAATGTCATTGATCAATCTGTCCACTTGGCAACAATATGTTTGTTTGGTGTAGGCATGGCTTAGTTCATTCAATGCTTTCTTTGGTAGCTTTTGTCGTTGGCGGTGCAGTGAAACTTTATAGATTATATATTTGGGCAAGGTTTTGGTGTGATTGTCTCAATTTTCTAATTCTTATTGGGACTATATGTTTTCTAAGAATTTAGCAATTTTTACGTGTTTGTGTGTAATATTTTATTTCCTGGACTGGCAATTTCATATGCATATGCTAACCAATTCATTGATGTGATGGGGTAAAATGTTATTGGCAGAAATTCTAGTTTGTTGATTGAACGCGGATTTACCAATTGTATTAGGTTTTTAGGAGATTGGGATTTCCACAATGTTGGCTGAAAGTGGAGAGGGCAGGGACTTATTTGCTGTAGGATTTGAAGTATCAAAGTTTGTCATTTGGCTAATTTAGTAATCCAGTTTCTCTTTTTATTCATTGCGGTATCCTTTTTGGACATTCTCATTCTTCTTAAGGTGAAGTGGACCATGGTTGAAGATTGCTTTTCTGACATATTTACGCCTTTTGCAATTTAGGTGGTGATATTTGGCAAATTATATTGAGTTATTTTGTTGCATTTCCCTAATGATTTGGTTCTTCAACCTATTTTACTACACAATACTAGAGATGTAGAAAGATTCTTTCTGCATTATGTATAAGAAGTAGCATTCACTAGGAATATTTATTTAGATAGTCCTACATCTTAATTATATTTAATTTACTTAGAGAAAATATGTCATTAACAATATAAATTTTTTTCATGCAAGGAAGATTCACTATAGAGGCGACTCTTGCTCTAAGTCTATTAAAGAAAAAAATACACAAAATAGAAAAAATCATGTATACAATACTTTCTGTTATTGAGAAGACATGTGATTGAGTACCACTGAATTTAATTTGGTGTTCGTGGTGAAAAAAAATTGTTTGTCAAAGGTTTTCTATACCTAAAAATGACACGAATGATGGAGCAATATAGCATGGATTATAGTTGATAGTACTTGTAGATTCACTAATGTGTTTGTAATCACATGAGGATTACATTATGTACTACATTTAGTTTGACTTTTATACTGGTTATGTATAGGCGTATAAAGGGTAGTCAATTTGAGTTTCTATAGCATATGCTATTTGTAGATGATTTAGTTCTATAAATGAGACCTCTACTATAACAAATGGAAAGTTAGAACTAGGAAGAAAATAGGACTTAGAATTAAGTCTCGACTCTTGCCATATTTTCTACAATTTTAGTGGTTGTAAAATTTATTCCTATGAGTCAACTGGAAAAAGGGTAATGACTGCTTAGGCATAACAAATTTAAGTATGTTGAATCCATTTTGTACAAAAATGATGAATACCTTGTATAGGTAATTCTAAGTAGTTTAAATTGTTGTGTCTTGAGCATAATATGGATAAGATAAGCTTATTAAGGGCCCATTTGGGGCAGCTTATAAGTGCGGCGACGTTTTGAAAACGCCGCCTTAGTGTTTATTTTGCGCGTTTGAGGGGCGTTTTTTCAAACCGTGTTTTCTAATTTCTACTACACGCGGACCACGGGTATACCCCCACGATCCGCGTTCGGCCTATCCCTGTTTACTCCCTTGCCCTCGTGACTTCGCCCTACGTTTCTCCTCTACCGAAAGCCGAAAGCCGCCCCTCTCGTCTCCTCTCTCCGTTCCTCCC